GGGAGGGAGTGCATCGAGACAAGAAAAAAGCCTGGGCAGTGGCACATGCCTGTAATCCCAACATGCTGGGAGGCTGAGGCAGGAGGATTGCAAATTCAAAGCCAGCCTCAGCAACTTAGTGAAGCCCTAAGCAAATCAGTGAGGCCCTGTCTCTAAATAACAAAATAAATAAATAAAAAGAGCTGGGGATATGGCCCAGTGGTTAAATGTCCCTGGGTTCAAACCACGGTATCCCCCCGAAAAAAAAAGTACAAGGTGAAACCTTTAAAACCTTGGAAGTTTACAATTCTATCCAATTCTATCCAATCCAAGTTCCCCTTTCTATATACAAATTAAGATATTCTCTCCATTTTGAAATGAAATTTTCAGATGATATAATCTGCCCACATACATTGTTAAATCAACCTAGTGTTCTAATTTTAAGCAAAATAAAATACATTAAGATAAAAATAATATACATTTTGAAGCAGGATTCAGCGGTGCAAACCTGTAATTCCAGCTACTCAGGAGGCTGAGGCAGGAGGATCACAAGTTCAAGCCTATCCTGGACAATTCAGTAAGACCATATTCCAAAAATAAATTTTTTTTAAAAGCTGGGGGTGGATCTCAGTGGTACAATGTTTGCCTAGCATGTGTGAGGCCCTGAGTTCAATCCTCAGCCTTGCAAATTAACAACAGCAACATGCATTTTGATGTGTAAATTCTTGGGCTTAACAACAACAAAAAAATCCCTGAAAATTTCCAAAACTCCCTCTAGGGGACATCATGCTTCCTTGAGATGTGTTGGTCTACATAGAAAATCTGCTTCCCTATTTGCAGGTAAATGATTGGAGCTGGAGAATATAATGCTAAGTGAAATTAGCCAATCCCAAAAAGCCAAATGCCAAATGTCTTCTCTGATTTAAGGATGCTGATTTATAATGAGGATGGGCCGGCAGCATGGGAGGAATAAACTCTAGATAGAGCAAAGGAGAGGGAGGGGAAGCAAAGGGAAGGGAGGGGGCATGGGGGTAGGAAAGACGGGAATGAGACGGACATCATTACCCTAAGTACATGTATGAAAACAGGAATGGTGTGGCTCTACTTTGTATACAATCAGAGACATTAAAAATTGTGCTCTATTTGTGTAATATGAATTGCACTCTGCTGTCATATATAACAAATTAGAATAAATAAAATAAAATAATTTTTAAAAAATCTGCCTCACATACACAAAACACCAAAAGAAATGGATTAAATTA